ATTTTAGAGGAGAACAGAGGCTTTTTGTCATTGCGCCTCTATTTTAGAGGAGAAGGGAGCCTTGACACGGAGCTCCTCCCTCTATTTTAGAGGAGAAGGGAGGAGCTGCTGCCTCTTAATGCCTCTATTTTAGAGGAGAACAGAGGCTCATTGTCGTTGCGCCTCTATTTTAGAGGAGAAGGGAGCCTTGACACGGAGCTCCTCCCTCTATTTTAGAGGAGAAGGGAGGGATATGCCTACTATTTTAAGCAGACGGAATCTTGGACAAGTTTATAGAGGAGCTACTGCTCCATTTTAGAGACAGAACGGAGTCTCGTCGCGGAGGACGGAATACCTCTATTTATGAGGAGTAACAGCGACTCTTGTCGTTGCGACTCTATTTACAGGAGAACAGGGCTCTTGGTTGGGCACTCTATTTTAGAGAGAGAGGAGCATTGACACGAGCCCTCCCTTATTTTAGAGGAGAGGGCGAGCTGTTTGCCTCTTAATTGCCTCTATTTTAGAGGCGAACAGAGGCTCTTTGTCATTGCGCCTCTATTTTAGAGGAGAAGGGAGCCTTGACACGGAGCTCCTCCCTCTATTTTAGAGGAGAAGGGAGGAGCTGCTGCCTCTTAATCCCTCTATTTCAGAGGAGAACAGAGGCTCTTTGCCGTTGCGGCTCTATTTTAGAGGAGAAGGGAGCCGTCAAACTGAGCTACTGCCTCTATTTTAGAGCAGAACGGAATCTCTGTCGCGGAGGACGGAATGCCTCTATTTTAGAGGAGAACAGAGGCTCTTTGTCATTGCGCCTCTATTTTAGAGGAGAAGGAGCCTTGACACGGAGCTCCTCCCTCTATTTTTGAGGAGAAGGGAGGAGCTGCTGCCTCTTAATCCCTCTATTTTAGAGGAGAACAGAGGCTCTTCTGTTTTTCGTTTGTTGCGCCCTCTATTTTAAAGGGAAGGGAGCCTTGACACGGAGACTAATCCCTCTATTTTAGAGGAGGAGGAGAGCAGAGGCTACGTTGCGCCTCTATTTTAGAGGAGAAGGGAGCTCTGACAAAGAGGAGCTACTGCCTCTATTTTAGAGCAGAAAGGAATCTCTGTCGCGGAGGACGGAATGCCTCTATTTTAGGAGAACAGAGGCTCTTTGTCATTGCGCCTCTATTTTAGGGGAGAAGGGAGCCTTGACACGGAGCTCCTCCCTCTATTTTAGAGGAGAAGGGAGGAGCTGCTGCCTCTTAATGCCTCTATTTTAGAGGAGAACAGAGGCTCTTTGTCGTTGCGCCTTTATTTTGAAGGAGAAGGGAGCCTTGACACGGAGCTCCTCCCTCTATTTTAGAGGAGAAGGGAGGAGCTACTGCCTCTATTTTAAAGCAGAACGGAATCTCTGGACTCGTTTCGAGGAGAACGAAGCCTTCAAACAGAGCGACGGCCTCTATTTTAGAGGAGAAGGGAGCTGTCAAACTGAGCTACTGCCTGTATTTTAGAGCAGAACGGAGTCTCTGTCGCGGAGGACGGAATACCTTTATTTTAGAGGAGAACAGAGGCTCTTTGTCGTTGCGCCTCTATTTTAGAGGAGAAGGGAGCCTTGACACGGAGCTCCTCCCTCTATTTTACAGGAGAAGGGAGGAGCTGCTGCCTCTATTTTAAAGCAGAAAGGAATCTCTGGACTAGTTTAGTGGAGAACGAAGCCTTCAAGCAGCGCTACTGCCTCTATTTTAGAGGAGAAGGGAGCCGTCAAATTGAGCTACTGCCTCTATTTTACAGCAGAACGGAGTCTCTGTCGCGGAGGACGGAATGCCTCTATTTTAAAGGAGAACAGAGGCTCTTTGTCGTTGCGCCTCTATTTGAGAGGAGAAGGGAGCCTTGACACGGAGCTCCTCCCTCTATTTTAGAGGAGAAGGGAGCCTTACATCTGCAAGGTCCCAGACCAGCAACAGCGTGCGCAGGCGAGCCGCACAGCGTGCGCAGGCGAGCCGCAGCCGAGACGTCATTTTCGTTGACCTGCACGAGAAAAAATAGGCGTGCAATTAGTGCGCGTGCGCGTGCGAGACCAGCATGCGCGTGCGCACGCGAGACCGACATGCGCGTGCGCACGCGAGGCCGTGACCCATCTTGAGCATCAGGTTCATGGACCAAGATGTAGACTTGCAAAAGACGATGCAAAGATTTGACAACGCCTCTCATTTCAGGTCAATAATAAGGGAGTCTTGACCTGACCTGCCATGACCTACCCTATTCCACGTAATTCCCATCTTGTATGGGCATGAAGAGTTGCAAGTGAAACCTTGTCTAAAGTCTAAAGTATTTGCACAGCTTACAAAGTTCATTCATTCTTGCAATGTCCATTCAATTCGAATATGAGTTCATGAATATTGATCATTCATGATTCCACGAAGGCGGTGGCTGCTGGTCACCAGTCGTCTCCGACTGTGGGAGGTTTCGATGACAAGCCCCGCCTCAGAATCTTTCGCCGTCATCAGTTCCCATTGAAGGTCTGATGAAGTCTGGGCTGAGACCTGCGTTTCCAAGCTCTGCATGCACAATCAGTGGGACAAAAGTCTAACAGCCAGCAGCTAACAGTGAAACGATTGATTCACTATGATGATTGCAATGGAAGGAAATGTATTCAGATTTACACTGTCAAATTCTGTTCCCATAAGCGTAATAACTTGCACACTGAGGTGTGTGACGGTTTGTGATCCTGCTTCCGTGCCTCCGCGGTCCGCGCTTCCGCCAGTTGTTCCCGAAGTTCCACCTTGCAACGGCATGCAGCAAAAGCTCAGAATTTCAGCAATGAAAAGTAATTAAGGGTGAGCAAAGATATGCAAAGTGTTTCTGTGCACAAGTAGAGACATGTAGAGACATGGTTCAAAAATGTTCAACATACTTGTGTAGACATGTGTGGCACAAGTGGAATTGTCACATGTTAGAAAAGGGTCAGCTGATGTCAGCTGCTTTGCCTCCCGTTGCTCAGATTTCTTCAGCCCCTCTTCCAGCTCAGAGACTCGTTGCGCAGTTTTTGCCTTTCCACTGTGCAACGTCGCAATGTTGCCAGAAAATCTGGGATATGAAAACACCAATTCGCCCGCACAGTGTAGTCAAGTGCATATGGATGCATATGGCTATATGATGCTATATGTATGCCATGCACATTGCACATGTGGCGTTTTTGGTGGAATCTTCTTAATGTCCCACAAAACCACGGAACATGAAATCGCAAAGGGAATGCAGAAGAAGACAAACACGGCGATGACGGCAACAACCTATATAAACACCTACATCGAGCCTAGGCTCTTACACAGAGTGAAACATGATGAAACATGTTCATTGACCGCGGCAGAAATGAATCCATTTTCCTCTGTTGGTGCAGTGTGAACAAATATTGATCATAGAATGACGCAGCTAAGCACACTGTGCCATGCAAGCAAAAACATGTACATCCTATACCTATACCCACGCAGTCTGTGCCTTCTACATGATGGCTTATGTATGCTTGTGGAGTTCCTTCGTCATCTAAATAAATAGATATATATATATATATAAATAATTAAGTCCGGAAAATAGGAACATTGCAATTGATATTGTCAAGGGATAGGAGGCACCATTGTTCCGATACTTTCGGCTGGACAACCCATCTAACTGTCATGACCTTACTTCTTCAAACCGTCCCGCAACACACTAAAGATAAGAATCAAACTGGAACGCGCTGGCTTACCCACGCTCTCAAAAGACTCAACGTTGGCATGACATGGTACAATTTCCAGAGATTCAACGATTAAACTGCCATCAAACACGATACTGCCTATGCAAGCATTTGAATGCATGTGCTGCATCCAATCTGGTTAAAATTAGACAGTAGGTTTAATGTTAAAGTCGGGGAATCAAAAGCTAGCCATGCTCAGTTGTCGATATCACTTAAGAATGAATTTTTAGATCGTCTTAGCAAAGATTTGATGGCACATGTACGAGTGTGCAAATGATTGCAAATGCATGTCTAATGATGTATATACAATGTATATGTATGTGAGCCCATAGATGCCCATAGAATGTCTCACAGATCCTTTAGGAATGTGACGACCGTTCATGAGCAGTGGCCGTGCCTCGGCATCCTTTGCTACGGAAACTTCTGCTAGTAATTTGGCCTACCCCCTTCACACAGAGATACACAGAGCACACTGCAATTGCCTGGGGGTTTTATGTGGAATCCATCTACTTCGAGGGACTCTGTGCTCACGATACGATCACACAAACACCATGTCAATGTATAAATGTATTACATACGTATAACCGAAGGAAGTTTAGAAGACAAACTTCCGACAAAAATGGACAGATGAAAAGCAGAGATGGGAAGAGTCAGAGAAGAGAAGAGAAGAAGAAAGAAGATCAAAAAGAAGCCAAAGGAAGAGACACCAGGCAGTAGGATGATTTGGCAGCCAGTTCCACACGGTTTGCAGAAGAGGTTGCAGAAATACAGAATGGACAGGAACCATGCCAAAGCATTGCCCAAAGTTCCAATGAACGTGCAGAGCCAGAAGAATTGCAAAGCTTGCAGGTCAATTTCCAGCACTTGCTGGTGTTGCTGCGTGTAACATCCATGTGCTTTAGACAGTTTCTTTGGCTTTTCATTTACATATGTGCAATGAACCAATATTGGTACCAATTAGTAATTAGCACACAATGCTTTCTACAAACAAGCATCCGTTCAGTTTTTATATTCCAGGGAAGTGTCACCACTTTTTCCATTGACCAGGATGCTGCTGACCCATTCAAGATTGCCATGAAAGCTTACAACCTCAAGCTTGGCAGCTACTACACTCACAAGCCACAGAAGGTCAAGTACCATGACAACAAGCTCTGGCAGCTCACCAAAGTGGAAGCAGATTCTGCCCATTTTGTGCACCAGCCTCTGATTGGACCACAGGAGACCAAGACTGTGGACCATGAAGAGCTTAAGAGGTTCAGAGCTTATGACAAGGAGCTGCCACAGCTCTTTCCAGCTGCTGACCTGGACGCTTTGAAGCCCCAATTGTCAACCAACCTGGAAAAAGAGATGTTGACATGTGAAGCCCAAATGGCACTCTACCAGAACTACTTCCAGCATCTTGCCTGCATTCTGATTTTTTCAATTTTGCATGCTGCAAGGTGCCAGAAACATGTTTGATTGCTGTAGCTTCATTGCTTGCCAGGAAAGATCCCTGGGAGAATGGTTCCTTAGTGATGGCTCTCCACCTCTCTGGGATTTGGGTTGCCAAAGCTTTTGGCAAAGGGAAGCTTCAGCTTGTGGCATTTGGCATGCTCCAGGAAGTGAAAGAAGCCAAGAGCACCATGGTGTTAATTGACACACAGCAATGGCATGCAGTTCCAGATCATGTCTCCCAAGCTGGACCTGAAAGAGAAAGAGGGCATGGTAGTGCCATATTTCCACATCAAGCCACACCAAGATCCCAGTGTGTGCAACATGGAAGCCTTTGTGCAAAAGGTTGGCGATTTCCAAGTGCCAGGCTACAAGAACTTCAAGAAAGTGGAGCAGGGTGACCAGCTGTTCTACCACAAGGAGCCCAATGAGGAGGAAGCACCTGCTGAAGCTGCCCCAGCCCCCAAGAAAGCCAAAAAAGCAGCATAGCTTGTACCATAGAACCATTTTGTGGCCATTTTGTCATCATTGGGCCAGATTGCGCACAGTTTGCAAATTTGCATCCATCAGGGCAAAGAAAAACAAGTGGTCAAATTCTGCTTTTTTTTGTAGCATTCAATGCTTCCAGAAAGGCCAATGCTTTGTCTATAGCAAATTTTGGGTGCACCTTCAGAACACCCAATCTGTGAATGCTTTGGCATATATGCTTGTCTCCAATCAAGATTGCAGCCAGATTTGTGTTCCAGTATATAGATAGCTTGCTTGAGCCCAGCATGGTTTCTTCTTCAAGCAATACAAGCTTGTCCCCATTCCAGATGATTTGATTGCCACCCATGCAGGTGAGGCCTATCTGAAAATTCGACCTAGCCATTACAAGATCCTCCAAGTCATCTGTGGCCAAGCAGCTCCCAAGAAGAATAGCACCTTGTCTGACAGCAAAGCCTTGATGGACATGAAAAAGAAAAGGGATGAAGGTATGGAAGCCATAGGCCAGCCATCAGTGGAAGGAGATGGCCCAGGCAACATGGGTCTGCCACAGGATGCCAAGGAAGAGCAACCCAAGAATAAGTCCAAGTTGAAACACAAAGAGGACCAAGTGGTCCACATTGATGTGGCAGGCAAGAGCATTCAACTCCTGTGCCCCAGCTTTAGGCTTGAGAGGGCCGGTCTCCAGGTCTCGCTGAACAGTGACCATTTGGAACCTGTCTTCAAGTGCTTGCATGGGGGCATCTCTCCACCAAGTGCTTCCAAAGACCAAGCACCACAAGAAGTGGAAGGCTGGCATATTGTGGTGTGGTTGTTTCAAATCATGAAATTCTCCATGGTGCAGGTCAAGATGGTTGAGCCACATGCCAAGTTCACCATGTGCATGCAGGCTCCTGGCTTGAGATGTGCAATTTCTTTCCCAAATAGCATTGGAATGACAATTGTCCTGCATCTTGTTGCAGGTGCTTCTCCAAATGGCTGTATTGCATCAAGGTCCAAGTGGCTGCCCACAGGAAAAAATGCAATGGCTGAAATAGTTGTGCAGCATCCACAAAAGCCTTGGCATGTCAGAATGCATTTGGATCCAGAATGGCATGTTGCAACTTTTTCTCCCCCAAACAAATCTGATTACCAAAGCGGATTGCATCATAGCACAAGAAGTGTTGTAACACTTGTATATATGGTACCTTGGAATGAGTTTCAGCATTGTGTCGCTTTCATATTAGCTACCAGAGAGTCCTTTTCAGCCAGCCTGTGAGAGCAGGTTGATGGTCAAAACTGTAACTATCCATTTGCCACAATGCAGCCCCTTGGCTTTCCAGCTGTCCAAGTGCCAAGTTGGGCCCCCATGTCCTCCACTGAGGTGCAGCCACATTGTTTTTCATTTTTTACCACACTTTCTTGCTTGCATGCCAGGAAAGCAAGTCAGAGACTGAAGCCCCTGAGGCCTTGGCCAGCAAGCATGGCAGAAGCATCACTGCATTACTTGTCTTGTCACAGCCCATGTTTCAAAGACTTCCAGGGGAGATCAAGGGAACCACCGACGAGGCCTTGGACATGATATTAGAATGGCCTTGCAAATTATCATAATCAATGTAAAGCTTGGGCCCAGGTTCAGCCCAAGCCTGCTGAGGCAGAACACAAGGCTGAACTCTATAGCTCACTTAGGACCAGAAGCTTTGTGCGTCTTTCTTTCATGTAGCATACAGTGCTTCTCTTTTCTCATCTTAGCACTCAGTGCTGTGGTTCATTGTTTGTTGGGCACACAGTGCTTGTTTTTCCATCTCAATTATTTATTCCCTATGCTGTGCTTAGCACACAGTGCTTTGGTACATGGTGCAGTTTTTTTTAAACATTGAAGGCCCATGCAGCAGCCAAGGGAGCAATCTCCAAGGTGCCATTCAACAGGATGATATAACATCCATGCTTCTTGTTGAAGCAAGCTTGCCAGGCCTGCAGGAAGGCATACCCGCACCAGGTGGGCCTAATAAAACACCCATATGCGCATACACACAAGTCTGGTATAGTTCATATTTTGATTTGGCAGGCACAGCCACCAAAGAAAGAGCATAAGAGGAAGACCATTACCAAGCAACTGGGGGAGGTGTGGCACTAACATCATTGTTTTCCAAGTTTTTTTTGGTGAGCATTTTGTTTGGGCAGGATCCCAGGAACAAAAGGCGCCATTCTCCCAAAGTTCCAGAACCGGAAAGCTGGCCTATGTATACAGATGATGAGGACTTCACTCTCTTTATCTAAAGTTTTCTTTGTTTTTTGGCATCCATCTTATATCTTCCAATCTTTTAGATGTGAACTCATGTCCATATCTTTAAAATCATGAGTGCGCACATTATGTTAAGATTTTGGCAGGACCTCCTGGAAGTCAAGGAAGAGCCATCCTCTTCCAAGGCACCACCACGATCAGAACCAAGCAGGCCCAAGAGATGCTCAGTAGTAGAACCAATGCCAGGGCAGGCCCATGCATAGCCAGCACCCACACAACCACAGGTGTTTCCAATGCCACCTTGGGCGAAGTTCCAAGGTGTACCACAGCCAGTGCAGCCACACAGCACCCCCAACCATGAAGCACGCCCAGCCAGCAGCCCCTCCATCCATGAACCAGGCACAGCCACCAGCACCTGCAGGCATGAACCAGGCCCACCCACCAGCACCTCGAGCCATGAAGCACCACCAGCCACCATCACCCCCACCCATCCAGCCCCATCCACCATATGATGGCAGCAGGGCTGAGCGACGCCTCCCAACAATCCCCCTGTTGGCAGACCACCAATGATGCCAATACCATCACCAGTACCAGGAGCCCACCCACCTGTGCCAGAACACCTGAGAAGCACAACCAAGGAGTGGAACCCACACCAGCTCCAAGTAAGGCCAAGGGAGTACCAAGGGTGGCAAAATAGATGGGTCATGCTGAGTGTGCTCATTAGCTTGGGCCACCACCAGGCAGCCCATGACTTTGTCGAGAAGTGGAAACCCAATCTCCAAACACAATGGGATGCCCACTATAGCCAAGTTTACCAGTATGGATATGACGCTAGCTACTGAGCTATGAGATGTGCAGAAAATGGGGCTAGCTGGATTGCAGCATGATTGAGTACTTTGCATTTTTTGCAAGACAATGAAGTATGGAGGTAACCAGGTAGTCAGGTTGGTATTTACATGATACTTGTGTCCATATGAGCACTGGGTGCTTACTGGGAGTTTTGCTGTCCATTGTTTGTCAGTTGTTCAGATTAGCACTTAGCGCTTTGAAGAAGTGTGCTATCCTGGTACCATGGCAGTTTAGCACTTAGTGCTGCAGTGCATGTATGTTTTGCACAAACTATGCCAAGACAAACTCAATGAAACAAAATCACCTTGTACATCATGTGCTGCTTAAATGCCACATTGTTGTCATAGATATTATTTATTTCTTTTCTTACAACTGAATTGTGCGGTCAAATCTGGTTGGAGCAAGAAAAAAAGGCCCAAGAAGAGCTGCAATGCCAAAAACTTATGATATAAAAAGCATCAAATCATTGGTGCCCATATACAGCCAAAATGAAATACAGTAAGTGTTCACTTTTTAATTTATTGCCAGGTTATCATCAGGAAAGATTCTGCCTTTTTGTATTGTAATGCAGTTCCTGGCAATGAACGTATTTTGAAACCAAATCAGATGCATGTCCCCAGGCCAAACTATACAATTAAAAACATGCAGAACTCTATCAGGTTTGTGGGTACACCACTTTTTCTTCCTTTGGGTTGGAAACCACAAGACGTGGACCAGCAAATGGGAAATCAATGAGGTCAGGTAGATACTGGCCATGCTGCAAGAAGTAACATGAAATATTTCAACTATAAATTACCAAAAGAAACTTGAAACAAATCCAAAGTTCATTCCAAATCTAAGAAGCACAACTATGCACATATATTAATACCAAGTTTAGAGTGAAAAAAAACAATTCCACAAATTGTATAAGCATAAAAGAATAGATTTAAATACTATATGACTATATATGCTTCAAAACTAAGTGTGAATTTCAAAACTCAACAGTTGCTTTCTGAAATTTTGAGATTAGATCTCTAAACTCAAAATCTGCTTTTCCAATTTTGAGTTTAGAGCTCTAAGCTCAAAATCTGTCTTTCCATTTTCGAGTTTAGAGCTCTAAACTCAAAATCTGTCTTTCCAATTTTGAGTTTTAGAGCTCTAAACTTAAAATTTGTTTTTGCAATTTTGAGTTTAGATCTCTAAACTCAAAATTTACTTTTCTCATTTTGGGCGTTGATCTCTAAACTCAAAACTTTGAATTTGCGGTTCTAAATTCAAAATATCGTTTCCCATTAAAAATTCAAATTTCCAAATTTGACAAAACTAGTTTCAAAATATAAATCTGAAAAGGTTTTTTTCAGAAAACAATAAACAAATTAATTAAAAAAAGTTTCAAAACAGCAGGATCCATTACATATATTCATGTTTGTAATCCAATGGGCAAATCCAAATATTCATTTTAATTTCAACATGTTTGAAATGTGTTTTTGTTTTATTAACAGTCAAGTCAAAATCTAAAATCAAAAAACAATGTTGATACATTGCTTTTCAATTTGTCAATCAACGTATATTGTCTTCTGAATGATGTCATGTAGTGGGTTGTATTGTTTGTTTTTGAAACGGCTGAACAAAGTTTGGAACAAACATGTTAAACATCACAAAAAAGTATTCATTAGAGCCATTTAGGTTCACAACCATGTCCACACTGCCAAGAAACATTTCAGATTGGGACTATGAAACCTATGGCAGCCAAGACTGGTTTGTCATCACCTTTTCCAATGGATGGAAGCAGTGGCCACTAGATTGCATTTTGTTTTCCAGAGTCTACTTTATACCAAGAAGTTGTATTTTCCTGTGTTTTTTTTTCTCTAAGGTATGAACCTCCTCCCATGGACCCCACCATGGTTGGCAGCCATTGGGATTTGAAAGACAGAGTTGTAGAATACCTACC